ACAATGACGATAATGGTAAATGCGTCTAGAGCAGCGTTCTTCGCTGATTTACAGAGGGGGGGCACTTTCGCTGATAAGACACCATCGGTGTGAGGGCCGCCCCCCCCCCCCCCCGACAGAGCCGGGGGGGGGGGGGGCGACGGCGCGAGCAGAGGGGGCCGACACTGACTTTCTCACACATCATACACTGACTCACTCACACATCATACACTGACTCACACATCATACACTGACTCACTCACACATCACACACTGACTCACTCACACATCATGCACTGACTCGCTCATCATGCGCTTACTCACTCACACATCATACACTCGCACAACCACTGACCCATTCACTCATCATACACAGGTTCACTCATCGTGTGCTGGCTCACTCGCACATCATATACTCACTCAAGCTACTACTGACTCACTCATCATACGCTGACTCGCACATCATACGCTGACTCGCACATCATACACTCACTCACGCTGCTGCTGACTCACTCACATATCATACACTGACTCACTCATCATACGCTGACTCGCACATCATACACTGACTCGCACATCATACTCACTCACGCTGCTGCTGACTCCCTCACACATCATACACTCACTCAAGCTACTACTGACTAACACATCATACACTGACTCGCACATCATACTCACTCACGCTGCTGCTGACTCACTCACACATCATACACTGGGAGTGTCGTGCTGCCAGCTATGGCTGCAGTTTTTTGTCGTACGTGTTATGTAAATCGTTTATTGTTAAATTTAAAATCACAGTTTCTATGATTACTGTTGTCACATTGTTTTTATAGCTTTATTTTGGTAATTCGAAAACATATGGTTAATCTAAATTGTCTTATGGTTGTTGTTGTTGGCTTGCACCACCTTGATTTTTGCACACAGCGTTTTAATACGTTTTTTTGTGTGTGTGGATTATTTGCTGGTTTATTCCAGGATGTTTCTGTTACGCGTTGTCGCTTTAAGATGTTCTGTGTTCAAATTTTGTTTGTTGCGGTTGCACCCGACTTAAGAGCCGCATGGCTCACAGGGCTATACCTAATAAATGAAACTTGAAACGTTTGAAACCATTGGGGGTTTGACAGCACGATGATGGGGGGGGGGGGGTCACATGTTGTGTACATTCGGGGGGCCGCACGTCAAGGAACCGCACTAAAGGCCACCAGAGGCCGCTGGTGGCCCACGGGCCTTGCAATAAAGAACACCGGTCTAGGTCAGGGGTTGTTGGCAAACTAAAATAACAAGGAGAGACATTTTTTTTTAAATCGGTAAACAAACAAAAAAACCCTCTCCCACTCAATAGTTCAAGAGCCGCACGTGCGCGTGTGAACAACGTCACGAATCGGGTCCTTAAAGAGCCGCATGCCACTCCGGGGACGGAGGCTGCCAACCAACCTGGTCTAGATGCTGCGGTGTTCCACCACCAAAGCGCAGACGCTTGGATTGCTCGACTTTGGAATTCCCTGCCATCGTCTCATAACCTTGCACAAATTAAGACACGTATAAGCTCTGATCTATTACAACTTTATTACTGCCGTTTGTTGCTGCCCGCTTGGCGTTTCTTGTTGTGGAGGTTGGCGGGGGGGGGCTTTGGGCCACTTTGCTCACAATGCAACCGGAACTCGCGCAAGACGCAGTTATAGACAAATGGGAACATGTGTATAGTGTAGTGTGTAGAACTTCTTTCGCACCGTACATAGCCAACCGTGCTAATCGGGCGCGTGGGGGAAGTACAACAAACTAAACACAAAAGCAGTTTTAAAGAAATTAGTTTTCAATCTGGATGATTTAAAAGTGCACAGCATCAGTAATATCGGAAGTTAAGAGCGTTCCAGGCGGCAGCAGAAGCGCATCTGAAAGTGCCGCGCGATGCGAGTGACCGTGTTCGTTCGATGGCTAGCAGCCAAAATCGGCTGCTGCGGGGATGGCCAGAGGTCACGCGATGATGGTTTATGCTCCTTGACGAGATCAGCAAGGTGTCGTGGTTCAAAAAGGTTTCGTGGAACAATGTCCTTCGTGCAGGAAGGAGAGAGGAAGCGTGCTCTGTACGTCGATACGTCTAGAGAGAGTCCGGCCATGGAGTAGCGTGCGTGGCTGGCTGTGGGCCCTGGTGCCAGCAATGAAAAGGGGGTCCCAGTCTCTATCCAATTAACCCTAAACCCCTCTCTTCTTCGTATCCCAGCGCTCGGGCAGACACCCCACCCCCCTTCCCCACTCCAGCCAGCGGTTCCCTGGCGCAGTTGCACCGCCTGCACGCTCGATAGCCTCCGCGTCCGCTGCGGGTCACCACGCCGCCAGTCTCTCTCTCTATCTCTGTGTGTGTCGGAAGCTCGCGTGTCGCGTCCCGACACTGGCTAGGACGCGGGCGAGTGGCGACTGGGGCCCGGCCCGACTTGGCGTCCTCCCGAGGTCGACTCCCCGCCGGCGGGCGAACTGCTCAGCAAGAAGTTCCCGGTGGCCCCCATGTAGAGACGCGAGCGCAGAGGCCATTTCTGCAGCGACACAAACGACAAAGATCCCCGCGTATAGCCTTAACCGACCCTGTTGGGGCAAGTGGTGTCAATGAGTAGGCAACAACAACAACACGAAGTTTGTTTGTGCCAGGCTATGTGCACTTTAAGCGCGCGCACACACACAGGCTGGCGGGGCAAGAGTTGTTAGCGAGCACCTATGAAGTTCATAAATAAAAAGGTAAACATCCCCCCCCACACCCTCCTCCCATAGGCATACAGAGTGTTGTTGTGCTGATGTTTACACGGCGCACCATGTACTGTACTCGTTTAAGGCTGGGTCGACCGAGGGGAGGCCCGGCACCGGCTCGAATAATCGTCACTGATGTTGGGCGTGAATGGGAATTGAACTCAGGTCGTCGAGTTGCGCTGAACACTAATCTTGCCCGGGTGAACTGCTCGGCAATGATACACATTCTCTCCTACGCGCAGCGATGCAGGCTGTTGGGGCAAGTGCTATTAGGGCCGAATTGTAACCATCCCCTGTACAGCCTCAACAGACGCTTGGGGCGAGTGCTGTCAGTCAGCACCTGTGAAGGCCGGCACGGCACACGAAGGAGCCAGAACCACACCCGACCCAATTTGTCTCCCCAGTGCTGAAGCTTACACACCGCCCTAGGTATTCATTTCAGGCCGAGTCGAACTAGTGGAGGCCCAGGACATGTTCACATAATTCACAACTCTTATATTGGTCGTGAGCGAGAAACGAAATCGGGCGGCCGGGTGCGCTGACCATGCAGACAAAGATCCCCCGTCTAGCCTTAACAGACTGTTGGGGCAAGTGCTGTTAGCGAGCACCTATGAAGGCCGGCACGGCACACTAGGGTGTGGGTGGCCAACACCACGCCCGGTTGCCTTTGTCTCCCTAGTGGCGATGCTCACACATCGCACCGGGTACTCATTTGAGGCTGAGTCGACCTAGGGGAGGCCCAGGACCGGTTCAGATAATCGTCACTTGGTATTGGCCATGAGCGGGAATCGAACTCGGCTCGCCAGGTTCGTAGCGCAGCGTAGCGCTAACCGCTACACTACCGCTCCCCACTGCGCCAACGCTCCCCCCCCCACACACACGCGCACGGACACGCACCCACTACGAAGACACCCCAGTCATTGGTAATTATCATTTTAATAGGCAATTGAATTCATCTTCGAACGAGTACGATTGGTAAACATGGAAAGGCCGACCGTGGCGTGTCGCGAGGGCTGACGTGTGGGCAAACCCTGCGTTCAGGCCGAGTCGACCTATGGGGAAGCCACAAGGCAAGCTCCGTTGTAACTCGCCGTGGCCAAGAATCCAACCTGAAGGCGTCGGATTAATATCTCAGTGGGCTATCCATTGCGCCGCCGCTCCCCCCACATAGTCACTCTGTCTAATGAATGTGTGGCTGCGTGCTATCACAGGGTCTGCCGTTGCACCCCTATACACTCCTTCTACCAGTCGCCCCTCTCGTCTCTGCAAATCGCCCAGTCAGTCCCCTTTCATTTCATGTGAAGGTGGCATGCAATCGCTGTGGGGTGTAATCCCGATAAGGAGGATGCGATGTGGGTGGGAGAGAGGTCAAGCGACATGGAGGTTGGGAACAGATGGTGGCAGGAAAGCGCTGTGGACGTTAAGTGACGGGTGGGTTACGTGTACGTACAACAAAAAGATGAGAGACGAGAATTCAACAAACCTGAAAAAACATTATGTGAAGCACATCCAATCAGGCCAACAACACAGTTAGACACTTCTTGGCGGACCACGAATTTCAGAAGAGTGTTAAATTTCGTGTTCAACCTTTGGATTGCACATACCAGCATAGAGAGAATGAAAAATACGAGGTACACTGTGTTGTTGGCCTGACTGGATGTGCTTCACATAATGTTTTTTCAGGTTTGTTGAATTCTCGTCTCTCATCTTTTTGTTGTATTTACCTCCGTGATTTGTTCTTGACACCTGATGAAGATCGCTTGCGTTGTGATCGAAACGTCGTGATTGTTTTTTGTTTTAATATAATTTTATTGTATTTCTACACACGTGACTTTACCGGAAAAAAAAAAACAATGAGTAATTGTATGCAGTCACGAAAGCTTTAATACTTTATACGTGTACGTGTTGGCGGGAGGACACGCTACCCACAGCGCCGTTGAAGTGGCAACCAAAAAGTCCAGCGACCAAGGACAAGATGAGTACCGAGAGCCAGGTGGTGGTTGGTGGCGTTCAGACTGTAAGAACGGACCGCAAAGGTCGGTGTCGACTTTACAACGGCCACGGGAATTGGCCCGAAGGAAGGAAGCGACGGCGAGGATTTTGGCGTCATCAACGACACCGTGAACAATCCTCCATCGTCAATCAACGACTCACGTCACGGGCCTGAACGAGGAGTGGGGGGTTTTTTTCGCCGTTTTTAGCCACCGGGGGGCGACATCGAGATCGTGCGACACGAATGCGTTCAACGCACTGCAATCGTTACCATTCCCGCCTGCTACGGGTTGACGTCAACAACGCAAGTGGAATTGATTCCCGCTCGCGAAGGGCATTGGGGGCGGTGCTGCTTCTCGTGTTTACCGCCCTGAAGCCGGTTGCGGAAATGCCACGTTCCTAACCAGGTGAGCACTCGAGATATTTATTGTGCGTCTCGTAGGCACGGGTGACATGGGTGGCATGATATTCGTTTGTAGGTTTGGGGGGAGGAGGTTGGGGTGGCGATGATTTCTGCTGTTCCTGCTCGTCCACCCGGACACGGACGAAAGAGACTCCACGAATACAATGACGGCACCACGTGGAGAATGGTGACTGCGTCGAGGGCAACGTTCTTCGCTAATTTGCAGCGGGGGTGGTGGGGCACTTTCGCCGACAAGACATCGTCAGTGTGAGGTCCGCCACACATTTGAAACCATTGGGTTTGACAACACGTGCGGGTGTTTTCGCATTTGTGTATCGCGCACTAAATTTGGCTAAGTTCGGACCCTGACGCCGGCACGCAACGGACCTGCCCTTGGTGAAAGTCAACTGTGAGCAAAGCCGACTGGCGCTTGGCAGTAGTATCATCGTTATTACATACACGTGTGTGTGTTTTATTTTACCGGGTAAGGCCCGCTGAGCTATATAGCTCTTTTTTTCAGAAGCGACCTGGCCACAAAATGATAGCTCAACGCAGTGGCTTGTCACGTGCAAATTCATAGCAGCCAATTACTCCAGAGCGCACGTTTCTAAATGCAAGCGTAAGAAAAGCCCAGAGGAGCGTGAGAAAAATCCAATTGACCAAGAGGAGAGAGACACGCGAACTCGAAATATACAGGCGTCAGGGTCGGGATCGGACCCACGACCTCCTGTATACCAGGCGAGGTAGTTAACATCTCGCTACCATGGCGAGATGTTATGATCAGGGCGGCTGCTGTATTCGAACCGTGAACCCTCTGCAAGAAGCCGGGAACGCGCTACCGATGAGTCACATCGCAATCTTCTCCCGAGGTGGGGGTGCGTCTCACAGTCCGAACTCAGGCTGCCGCGTTTATAGCGCAGTGCGCTAACCAATTAGGGGCCGTCCATAAATGACGTCACGCGATTTTGGACGATTTTTGACCCTCCCCTCCTCGTCACACGGCGTCACAAAAAGTCAGACCCCCCCTCAAATTTGACGCCACAAAGCTCTGCCCCCCCACAAAAATATATAAAACATGCTTCAAACCGCTTTAAACTATTGTCATTGTAGTTGCGTATTTAATGTGGCGCTGCACTCTGATGTTGTAGGAGAAAACATTTATTAAAAAGTCTATTTAATTAAGTAGAACGTGTTGTCTATATTTATTTAAAGTTGCGCATTTTTATGTGACGTCACGTTTCTCAAACCCCCCCCCCAACTCTATAGCTATCAGGACGTGTTGGGGCTCGTGCCGTTCGCGAGCACCTATTAATAATACTGTTCACGTTAGCGAGCACCTATTAATAATACTGTTCACGTTAGCGAGCACCTATTAATAATACTGTTCACGTTAGCGAGCACCTATTAATAATACTGTTCACGTTAGCGAGCACCTATTAATAATACTGTTCACGTTAGCGAGCACCTATTAATAATACTGTTCACGTTAGCGAGCACCTATTAATAATACTGTTCACGTTAGCGAGCACCTATTAATAATACTGTTCACGTTAGCGAGCACCTATTAATAATACTGTTCACGTTAGCGAGCACCTATTAATAATACTGTTCACGTTAGCGAGCACCTATTAATAATACTGTTCACGTTAGCGAGCACCTATTAATAATACTATTCACGTTAGCGAGCACCTATTAATAATACTGTTCACGTTAGCGAGCACCCATTAATAATACTATTCACGTTAGCGAGCACCTATTAATAATACCGTTCACGTTAGCGAGTACCTATTAATAATACTGTTCACGTTAGCGAGCACCTATTAATAATACTGTTCACGTTAGCGAGCACCTATTAATAATACTGTTCACGTTAGCGAGCACCTATTAATAATACTCTTCACGTTAGCGAGCACCTATTAATAATACTGTTCACGTTAGCGAGCACCTATTAATAATACCGTTCACGTTAGCGAGCACCTATTAATAATACTGTTCACGCTAGCGAGCACCTATTAATAATACTGTTCACGTTAGCGAGCACCTATTAATAATACTGTTCACGTTAGCGAGCACCTATTAATAATACTGTTCACGTTAGCGAGCACCCATTAATAATACTGTTCACGTTAGCGAGCACCTATTAATAATACTGTTCACGTTAGCGAGCACCTATTAATAATACTGTTCACGCGCACACGTGGACTTGTCTAGACGTGACCCACCCTGTACACGTCACGCAAACAACTCGGCACAGTCGTCAATAGCACTGCCCTAAATGAAATTAACAAGGGCCATTGCCCTAAACGTCTCCTATTAAATAAATGTGTCGTTAAAATTCGCCATCACCCGACACCGCCAACTAGTAAGGGTTGTCACGTAAACAGAACGTGGCCAATTCGTCACTAGTACAGCACACCGGCGTGTTGGAGAGCCAAGCCACAACATTTACAATCTGTTAAGTGACAACCCTTACTAGTTGGCTGTGTCGGGTGGTGGCGGGTTTTAGGCGACACATTTATATATTTACGCGCTCTAACCCAATAAAAACCTTCTGTTATGGATTATATTGGTCGCGAAAGCCTACGTGTTAAAATTACGTCTATTATATATCGTGCAATGGCCCTTCATAGCAGAAGGGTCATTCCTCGAAACGTCTCCTATTTATTTTTATTTTGAAGACCACAGTGTTGTTGACAGAGCTGTTGAGTTAGTGTTAACTGTGCTTGTGCACCACTCTCAAACGCAGCAACATCAACGCATCATTTGTTTACTCACGCAGGGCTAATGATAGTTTACTTTTAAAAAATCTATGCTGACTTTTCACCGTATTATCCGGATTATAAGACCCCACCAACTCTGTAAGTTTGGTGGAGGGGGTACGCCCAGAGCCGCCCAGAGGAGGTGGGAGAGGGCAAGAGTGGAAACTCACCCCGGGCCTCTCACAGAAGCGGGCCCCCCACAGGGGACATGTCGACGGTGGAATAGGGGTTCCCACGTGGGAGTCTGCCCTGGGCCTTCGGGTACCTCTTGGGCAACCCTGGGTGCGTCTTATAATCCGGTCGGGGTGTGCGTGTGTGTGTGTGTGTTATGACCAGATCACGGTTCGGATGAGCCAGCTATCGTTGCCGGGCCGCTGAGTCGAGTGGAGGAATTACGTAATGGAAAGAAGGGCTGATGATGATGAGCGAGTAAACAGCTGTTTCCCATAAACGTGTTAAACTCTACAAACACTTTTCTCTTTCTGCCGTCTACCGTTTTAAAAGTACAAAAAACAAGTGGAGCGCGAACAAGAAGACACCGCCCAACACGATCTGCGCCGTCGGTTCTCAACCCGTGGCCGCAGTCGGTGACATCGACAACGTGCAGGAGAAATGTACGCGGTGCTGAGTGGGGGCAGTGCCGGATTATCCGAGTAGCACAAGTAGCTACACATGCTACTTGGCCCCGCACTTTCAAGGACCCCCATGCGCTAAATGCTTTCAAGCTGTCAATTTCGGTTGAGTGATTCTGCACTTGCTCTATTACTATAGTACTATACCGCCTTCAACTTTTACGAACTACTGGGTGTTTTACGGTTCGCGATTTGTCGTATTATCTGGCTGAATAGCAAATAAAAAAAATACAATTATTTTACTATGCAAGTTAAACATTTGTTTTTAATATTTCTGTGTTTTTTTATATTCAGGGCCCCTTTATAACATATGCTACAGGCCCCGCACTAGCTTAATCCGGCATTGGGTGGGGGGGACATTGGACAGGGGATGAAGACCCCCCCCTCCGTCCCCCGCTTTTTTCATTCCTTCTTGCATCGGGGCCATGACCAGCCTCGCTCTGCCACGTGCCGATTCTCTCGTTGTCTCTGAAGTATGGACCTCGTCACTTCCCCTTCCCCAGGAACCTTCCCCCATTGGTTCATCTGCCGCCCCGCGAGATGGAATCGAACCTGCGACGACATCTGGATTGCAAGTCCAGCGTGTTAACACATTTTTTTTTAATTTTTAATGTGCGTGGATCAAACTTGAAAATGTTGGTGTACACCAGTGTTCTCCACTAATTTTCAAAGGCTGCTCACTTCCACCGATGAAGGCATCAATCAGTGAGAGGGCCGTCAACACTTGGCTGCCGGGGGGTGTTTAGACGTTTGCGCATTGTCAGGGGCCCGCACTAAAGGCCACCAGGGGCTGCCAGTGGCCCGCGGGCCTTGCAATGAAACACACCGCTGTGTGTACGCAATGATAGATGTATCCTCGCACTGCCCTCCCACGTGCGCGGGACACAAGCAATGATGATGATTGCTTGTGTTGCAGTCGAAACGTCGTGATAATTTCATTGTTTTAAATTTTTATTATTTTATTGTTTCCCTTCTAACGTGGCTTTACCGAAAGAACCAAGAATATGAATCCCTGCAGTCACGAAAGCTTTACATCACAATATTGTTCTTCTTTATTACGTAGTATGACGTTCAAGAAGACTGTGGTTGTGCCAAGCGTGAGCTTCCTTGTCCCTCTCGACCTTAATTTGGAATGATAACCCGGTCGACTCGGTCAGCATCGTCCGTCTAAACGTTACAAGCTTATCCACCCACGCACACATGCAGTGCCAAACGCAACGGGCAATCAGTTGCAGCCGGCAGCACCGTCCTGAAAGGAAGTCCCGAGGCGCACGAGTTTATTGTTTTTATGATTTATATTTCACTGGTTTGCTGTCCACGCTCCAGTAGCGACCAGGAGTTTTGTGCCGGGCTTAAACTCTCACTTTTGATATGTTTCGGAACGCTGCTATAAGCGGCTGGTTTTGCGGTGCGGTCGGGATCATCGGCGTAAGGCACTACCACTAGAGTATCACGGAACGCCCATGCATAATATTAATATAATATTGCGCCCTATGTGTTTATAATAAGAAGTACCATGCGTGACAACAATATAGGACAAGGGGAATATGGCGCGCCAAAGTCATTCCCGGAGTTATTGCGATCCCGGACTGTTATTACGGTATGTATTATATACGCGCATGTATAAGCACTGTCTATATGTGTGTGCACGCGTGTGTGTGGTTTTGTGTCAGTGTCTGGTTCCAATTCGATGTACGAAACAGTGCCGCCCTGCACATCAATCGTTTATAGCTACCGTATTATCTGGTTTATAAGATGCACTGGAAAGTAAGATGAACCCCAACCGGTGTCAATACAGTTCTACAAATCTGGTCATACGCAAATATATATTCGTACCGGATCATAAAATGCATCCGAAACGTTGGCTTTAAAATACATTGAGGGTGGGGGGGGGGGGGGTGGAAAGTGCGTCTTATAATCCAGAGAATATGGTGGTGGTGGTGGTGGTATTGGTGGTGAAACGCGTGTGTATTTCTCTGTTTACAAGCACCCGTGAGTTGTTCACCGGTATGACTGTCGCGCGAAGGCGCAGTGGTTCGCGGCACTGCTGCGCTGTGAATCCTGCCAAATATTGGTTCGATTCCAGACCACGGCTAACATCAGCGACGAGTGACAACTGAACCGGTTTTGTGTTGAGCAATCCCCCCCATTCACCAACCCGCACTGAACCAGCGTGGTGAAGTATGGTGAAACAACCTCCGATGGGAGAACTTCATCCAACAGTAGATTAACAAAGGGGCTGTAAATTATTATTCGTCATTTCACGTTTACACAAAAAATACGAAACGTGGTATGTTGACGTTCAATTCAGTCATGGAAAGTCTTGAGCCACCGGGGATGCACGCCTTAATGGTCACCATTTGATCAACACATTGGCCACGTACGTACGGCAAAGTCCTCCGCTTAACGCGCGTTCACGCTAATGCTGACCAACGCGGAACGCGCGCCGTCACAACGCGGCTTCTGGGCGGCCGACGACGAACTACTTTCTTTCGGCAAATATACTTGTACGAACTACTTTCTTGGGTTGCCCGGCTGAGCACAGCACGCGGAATGATCGAATAACTTCGGCGGCGTGCCCCCAGTTAATTGTTCTCGCCACCCGCATGGGTAGTGTGAACGTGACCATCTTGTAGGCTTGTGGATGGAGCGTTAACGACAATAATGTGGTACATAGAACCGCCACGTGAAGAAGAAGAAGGGCCATTGCACCCCCGAAACGTCGCCGATCAACAACCCTCGCTATACAATGCGCGCGCACCGCGTGTTGTGATTGACGTGGGTGGGCGTTGCATTGTTCTGTTGGCTGTGCTTGTGCACCACTGCCAATGCAGCAGTAGCAGCGTGAGCGCCCACGTGACTATTTGTAATTTACAAGAAAATAATAATATACAAATTGGGATCATTGCATTGGCTACAAAAAAAAAACACATGTATTTTTAAGTCGACGAATATACGTGTACGGTATTTGTTGAACGTGTTTAAATAAAAAACTAAGTTAAAACATGACTAAAAAAACAATCCCAATATCGACCGCAGGGCATATATTGCACAGTGTGTACAGAACATATACAATAAATACAGAGCGGATATAAGTCGCGGTGGGCGTTATTGCCAATGCAGTGTTGAGCTGGCACGTTAATATTTCTGTTCAATTTTTTATTTATTTATTCCAGGGATCTCACACGTGTCGGACTGGTAAACAACAACTGTCCGTCGTGTGTTTGTATATCCGCTTTACAAGGCAACAGAACAATAAAAAATGTATCTAGAAAAGCGTCCGACTTCATTTAATAACAAATGTGACAATCGGCTTAACACTACCTTCAGCGTGCAATGAATTGCGCAGGTTTCGCGACTCATCTGGGTCCATTCCAGAAGAATGTCCCTGACCATACTTCACCACGCTGGTCAGAGCCACGCGGTGGAGAAGCTAATGCCGGGCAGAACCGATATTCTGTTGTCCACTGACGTTAGCCGTGGTCGGGAATCGAACTTCATTTTTCCTTTGGTTCGTATAGCGAAGTGCGCTAACAGATGTACCACCGCTCCGCCTCCCCTCCCACATATGCTATGCCCCAACAGCCTGCAGAGGCTATTGCGAGTGCTGTTTGTGAACCAATGCTCTGGTGAATTGCCCGATGCTAATAATAAACTATTACCCTTTCTGTAACACAGTCACGTGATTAGTGACGCTGCTGCGTTGGCAGTGGCACACACTCGCAAATAACAAAAACAAAACAACACATTCGTCAATAACACTGTGGCCTCAAACGGAAACGATATATAAAATTCAACGTTTCGGGCAAAGGTCCTTCTTCATAATACATACATAGGGAGAAGCAAGAGAGAGATTTGATTTTTTTTAAAGGTAGAATCAGAAAATGTATTTATATTATAATAATAGCGTTTTCCCCCTTTTTTGGCAACAAAACTGAAACCTTTTACAAGGATTCATGTCTGCATTAACCACAATACCTGTGGTCAAAATGCATACAAAAAACATACTATGATAAGATATACATTGTCCTTGAAACTGATTGGTCCACACCAAGGACGGCTTTCTTTTGAGCCTCGACCCAATTGGTGCTAGACCAGATGATGTCAAAAGGCGTCACACAGCTCAAAGACAATGCACTATCAAAGTAATGAGGGCTCGGGGTAAGCATCTACATCATTAGACCTCCTTTGCCAGTACTGAAACATAGCTTTTATATCTCATTGGATTCCTCCAGTATAAATTAATATTATTATCATTAGACCTCCTTTGCCAGTACTGGCAAAGGAGGTCTAATGATGATAATATGATGAGATACAAAAGCTATTTTTCAGAGATGTCCAGTGGGGGCGGGTAAGAACGTCACTACAGCAAACAATACCAAACAAAAACACGACCGTAGTGCAAAGTCGAAGAAAGGCAAACAAATCACCCAATACACGTACAAATATCTAAGTGCTGTGAAAATGTTTGCTTCGTCTGAACCGCCACCTATAATGTATATATATCTTGTTTGTGTTCTCTTTAACGTCTGTTCAGAAACATGTTATTGAACTTGAGAGCTTAACTAAAAAGCTACATACAGTGAGGGAAAAAAGTATTTGATCCCCTGTTGATTTTGTACGTTTGCCCACTGACAAAGAAATGATCAGTCTTTAATTTTAATTATAGGTTTATTTGAACAGTGAGAGACAGAATAACAACAACAAAAAATCCAGAAAAACGCATGTCAAATATGTTAGAAATTGATTTGCATTTTAATGAGGGAAATAAGTATTTGACCCCTCTGCAAAACATAACTTAGTACTTGGTGGCAAAACCCTTGTTGGCAATCACAGAGGTCAGACGTTTCTTGTAGTTGGCCACCAGGTTTGCACACATCTCAGGAGGGATTTTGTCCCACTCCTCTTTGGAGATCTTCTCCAAGTCATTAAGGTTTCGAGTCTGACATTTGGCAACTCGAACCTTCAGCTCCCTCCACAGATTTTCTATGGGATTAAAGTCTGGAGACTGGCTAGGCCACTCCAGGACCATAATGTGCTTCTTCTTGAGCCACTCCTTTGTTGCGTTGGCCGTGTGTTTTGGCTCATTGTCATGCTGGAATACCCATCCACGACCCATTTTCAATGCCCTGGCTGAGGGAAGGAGGTTCTCACCCAAGATTTGACGGTACATGGCCCCGTCCATCGTCCCTTTGATGCGGTGAAGTTGTCCTGTCCCCTTAGCAGAAAAACACCCCCAATGCATAATGTTTCCACCTCCATGTTTGACGGTGGGGATGGTGTTCCTGGGGTCATAGACAGCATTCTATCTCCTCCAAACACGGCGAGTTGAGTTGATGCCAAAGAGCTCCATTTTGGTCGCATCTGACCACAACACTTTCACCCACTTGTCCTCTGAATCATTCAGATGTTCATTGGCAAACTTCAGACGGGCATGTATATGTGCTTTCTTGAGCAGGGGGACCTTGCGGGCGCTGCAGGATTTCAGTTCTTCACGGCGTAGTGTGTTACCAATTGTTTTCTTGGTGATATGGTCCCAGCTGCCTTGAGATCATTGACAAGATCCTCCCGTGTAGTTCTGGGCTGATTCCTCACCGTTCTCATGATCATTGCACTCCACAAAGTGAGATCTTGCATGGAGCCCCAGGCCGAGGGAGATTGACAGTTCTTTTGTGTTTCTTCCATTTGTGAATAATCGCACCCACTGTTGTCACCTTCTCACCAAGCTGCTTGGCAATGGTCTTGTAGCCCATTCCAGCCTTGTGTAGGTCTACAATCTTGTCCCTGACATCCTTGGAGAGCTCTTTGGTCGTGGCCATGGTGGAGAGTTTAGAATCTGATTTATTGATTGCTTCTGTGGACAGGTGTCTTTTATACAGGTAACGAGCTGAGATTAGGAGCACTCCCTTTAAGAGTGTACTCCTAATCTCAGCTCGTTACCTGTATAAAAGACACCTGGGAGCCAGAAATCTTTCTGATTGAGAGGGGGTCAAATACTTATTTCCCTTATGAAAATGCAAATCAATTTATAACATTTTGACATGCGTTTTTCTGGAATTTTTTGTTGTTATTCTGTCTCTCACTGTTCAAATAAACCTACCATTAAAATTATAGACTGATCATTTCTTTGTCAGTGGGCAAACGTACAAAATCAGCAGGGGATCAAATACTTTTTTCCCTCACTGTACGCGTTAAAATGAATAACCTATTCTTCGGATTATAAGACGCAGCACCCTCTCCCCACATCCGCCTTCCCCCCCACACCCCTCTTTATATTTTAAAACAAAAGTTGTCGGTGCGCCTCATAATCCGGCGTTTGCGTATTTTACACGGTGTGACGCTAGAGCCGATATAAAGCGAGCGAAGACCGCTACCAATTTAAGTAACTAATGCATGTAGAAAAAAAACAAGACAAAGATCCCCCGTATAGCTTTAACAGAATGTTGGGGCAAGTGCTGTTAGCAGCACCTATGAAGGCCTGCACGGCACGCGACGGAGTGAGGTGGCCAGCACCACGCCCGGCCGCCTTTGTCTCCCCAGTGGCGATGTTTACAAACACCGCACCAGGTACTCATTTGAGGCTGAGTCGACCTAGGGGAGGCCCAAGACCGGTTCAGACAATCGTCACAGGTGTTGGCTACGCGCGGATAGCCGGATTCGAAGCGCAGCACGCTTACCGATACACTAACCATATGCACAAACAACAATATCAAACGATTCACTGAACATCAGGAAACTCATACTCTTGTGCTTTATAAATGCCAATATTATATTATACGCCATATACTCAATCGTGCATGCTGCTGTATATAATGTATAGACACTGTATACACATCCCACGAGTCAATGCACTGCTGGATGACGGCCCTACGGCGAGCGCTTCGTGGGAAGAATTATTTGACCATATTTCACCACGATGGTCAGT